TGTATTTGCTCAACACATTTGCTACATTCCGCTCTCATACACTCCTCCACATGCAGCCGTGCCAGATCTCCTCATTCCCCTTTGAGGATCTTCTTGGGCAACTTGCCTGTTTGATTCGAAATTGTCCCTTCAGGGCAAGGAATACATCCGTAGCAACAAACAGGCTTCTCCTCTGCAACTTTCCTGGCCTGTCCTGGAAGGCAGGGCTTCACACACCGGGAGAAAGGCTTCGTCTGAAACAAGAGTGGTTAGCTTTGAGAGGGAGAGATGAGCAGCTTGGCTATAGGGTCTGTATAACAGGAACCCACATTGCTCCTTTCTCTACGTTCTGATGAGAGTTTTCACCACAACAGCCTGTTCCCTCCTCCCAGTTTTCCTTAACCCCGGAAGCAGCATCCAGTCCCCACCTGGTTAGCCCACACGATGGCATCGGGGTTGATGCTGAAACCTGCAGCCGAAGGAGCCTCCGGATCAACCCATCCGACTTTCCGTCGAGCGATCGTTTCATTTGCAAAGACGGCCCAGTTTAGAATATCAAATCCTGCATATTTCATCCCCGTTTCTGAAAAGGAGACTTCATCCCCAGCCGTGTTGTTAAAGCGGATGTTTCTCAAGAAGGTGTGGATCTGAAATTGTAAAGCAAGCAAAGAAATAAACAATCCAAAGGTCCATGAAAGTGAAGAGAGTCGATATAAAGAGATTTTAAACTGCAATATGTGGATGAATGTTTTTCTCTCTGAAATGAAACAGAGATGGGGTTAGCCATTTCTGAAGTTGAACGACCCAGCATTTCCCCAATAGGCTTTTAACATGCAATCTGCTTATTCCTTTTAGTTTATTATTGTTGTTGTAAACTTTATTGTCATTGTACCTCGTACAACGAAATTAAATGCCATCCCCAGTGCACCTTATATATAAAAACCATAAAATAAAAACACACATCCTTCATATTCTGTTCACCATTGCACAACCCCCGATGTTACACTAATATTGCACTATACAGTAGAGTTCAATATAGTTGCATCTCTGGGATAAAAGCTATTTTTCAGCCTATTTGTCCTTGTTTTTATTATCCTGTACCGTCTGCCGGATGGTAATAGTTCAGAAAAAGAATGTCCCGGGTGAGATGGATCCTTAAGAATGTTATTATACACTGCTGTAGAACCGCAATAGCACGTGTGCTGTTAGTTGATGGAGAGAATAATCTTTCATGAATACATGGCAAACGTATTTTGCATTAAAAAGAAAGAATATTAATTTTCCCCACAAATGGAGGTTTGAAGGGAAGGAAATATACCTCTACTGAAATGAGATTTAATTCAGTTTGTAAAATACGATATGTTGTTACATCAGAGTTATAAATGACGGTAAACTGAAGTTCCAAATGTGTATCTACCAGATATTCAGCTTCAAGCATGGGAGCTACAAATTACTGCAAAGGAAAAAATAGGTGCTTGGAAACTAAAATTAATGAAATGCCTGTGCCAGATGACTTCTCTGCAAAATATTATTGGTGAAGCTGTTAACCCAAGTAATGAATGAGATACATGTTGCTGCAATCTTGGCAAGTGGCAGTCATGTCCTTCATTGGTAAAAGTGGACTTTTAGGAAATTATAGCCAAGAGATGAAGTGAGAGAATAGCAGTTCTGATTCCCTGAGATCGGTCCACATTTGTTCCCAGAAGGGAAAGGAAGACCACCAAGGGCTGTGGATGGTATCAGCTCTAGCCATTCTAGAAGCAGGAAAGCACCTCTGATCTTCTTGATGCCGAAAAGGCTTTTGACAGCTGGGATGGCCGTATTGCGGCAGGAGAGCCTCGTAGTCATCAGTGTGAGTCCGTCTTGTTTTCTTCGCCCTCCAACCATAACAGGAGGGTCCAACTACTTCGGCACCTTGGGCAAGTTGCATTCTTGTCTGGGGCAGCAGGAGAACAGCAGGCGGCCGATGAGAGATGGGGAGCCGCCAGAACGAAGGTGACTCGGTGCAGCCTTTGAGGGGTGAGTGGTTGGGCAGGAAAAGCAATTCAGACCCGGAAGCAGCCAAAAGCAGAGTGGCAGGACGGGGTAGCCATGCCAGCTCCTCCAGAAAAGCCAGTGCCCACAGAGAAGATGAACGGTGAGCCTTATTTGTTAGAAAAGGTTTTGATTGAGGGAATCTTCACAGTTCTTACAGGTTTTAAGGTTTGGTGGTAAATAAACCAGGAAAGAAAAGTGACTTGTAGGTGGAGCAAAACAAGTGATTTCAATATTTACAGGCTAGCATTATACCGTATACAAACATGCAGAAACATGGAGGATACATGTGAGGCTTAAAAGAATCCAAAAAATATAGTGGAACAGTCTAGATATTTATTAGGATCCAAATTTATAAACTGCTGGGGAAAAAAATTGAGAACCTGACCAAGGTAAAGATTGCATGATTAAGTGGATATATAAGGTGGATTGAACTATCGAGATACAGCAAGGGGAATTTCAACAGAAAACTCAATCAAGTCTACAGTAACCGGCATCATTAGAGAAAAACAGTATAAGTTTTTTTTTTCTTTTCCAGCTATGATTGCTAACATAGAAATGGAATAAAGAAGTGGGAATGTTTCATAATTTCTGGCGGCAATACGAAGAAGTTCCACAATTTTGGAAAGTGATCCATCTTAAAATGCAACCAATTCTACTTTTGCCTTAAATACTTACCATCCCATAAAATGTCATCTATTAATACTAGTGACTGAATGAACATGATTGATGCTCCCAGTGGCAAGAAGTGAATCTGCCAAATGTTGGAAACTTCCCAGTTCTCCTGACCCAGAAGACGGGAAGCTGAACTTAAGGGAGTGGCTTCTACGTCTAAAGCAACAACGTAGAGCAGTAGAGGTGGGCACCCATTGATTAGGTTAGATGATTTTCCTCCCACATTCACATGATGGCTTTACTTCATGTTCTCTTTCTATATCCTATTACTCACTCTTGTTTGCTTGGTTGTTTCCCCTCTGAAACCTCTGTTGACAAGCAGAGAAAATCCTGCAAATTTCAAGATTGGTACGAGATTGAACCCAAGGGGAGAAACTAGTAGTTAGGGAAAAGGCAAGGCCGTGGAGATCCCAGGCAAAAGTTCATGAATCCTAAAACAGTGCAAAGCGAATGTAACCCAAGAGAAAGAAGGATTCCTTGGCCGGAAAAGAAGGTCTGAAGATGAGAGTTACCTGCCAGGGTTCCACACAGAGCAGGTGAGGCTCCTTTCTGTCCCTCTTCAATGCCCGTTGAGGTTCCCAGGTATGCGCAGCATGTAATGCGTGGGCAACGGAATAGGCCGCGTTGTAGATGCTGTAGCTGAAACCGGTCATCTTTTCATCAAAGACGGAGGCCGGTAGGGCGTCCAGGTTCTCCTCCCCCGTGCAAACCCTTCTGCCCTCAGGGGAGGCCAGACCTGCCTTCAAAACCTCACAGTCAAACACGACTTCCCACCAGCCGGGGAGAAAGACGTCTCCACGGGGTTCGTGTGGATTCAGAGCCCAGAGATAATTCTTGAATCCCGGCACCAGGTTGGTATGGACTGTGAAGGACAAAGCGCCATGGAGGGACTTCAGTTTCCACCACTCGTAGGGATAGCCAATAGCGGAAAATTCCCACTGGGTGGTCAGGATCCAGACCTTCCCGGAAGAAGTGTGGTTCTCTTCTTCATAAAAGGAGAGGGATTCTATTAGGCTCTGCAGCGTATTTGAATCTCCCAAGACAATCACAACCTGAGCATCACTGTTCCAAATTGTCCAAACCATATCTATTTGATCGCCTTGCAATCCACTGAACATTGAGATTCGGGGCAAGATCTCTTTCACAAAATGTATGCAAATGTCATTCTGGGCAAGGGTGGCATCCAAAATCCGGATGAAATTTTCACTGCTCTCCCAGTTCTGAACAACAATCCCAATCCAGTTCCATTGGAAATATAGAAGAAGTTGGACAATTGCTGCATTCTGCAGATGATAGTGAGGATCGATCTGGTAGAAGGTGGGGAACTGGCTCTTATCGCTCAAAACAGGGTCAGAGGAGCGGTAACCTAGCTGAAGGGAGGGTAGAGATGGAGGAAAGGGGAAGAGTTATGCAAGGCAAAAGGAACCTGTATTTTGTATGGCTAACGTTAGGGGACCCAGACTAGCACCCAGACTAGCACCCAGAGTAGCACCTATCCTAGAGCCCCCCAACTAGGCACTTTCATGACATGTTCTCTTCCAGTCACAGAATTGGCTCTGGAGTTGTTGGCAGTAACTTCATAGGGCAGAGTTTACAGTATTACATTTGCATTCACCCTTTGATCATGTTATGTGTCCACGTACCTGAGAAATCTTGAAATTGCCAAACGTGGTTGCCATCTGGTACGAGATCTTGGAGTTCAGACCCCCAAGGACAGAGAGCAGGTTGTCCCGTGCCTCACACTGATAGTTAGGGAACATTTTTCCCCGGCTGGAGAGCAGAGACAGGCTGATGTCTTGGGCCATGCTGGCATACTGGTTCTCTTCGTAGATGCGGAAGCCCAGTGTGATGTTGGGTAGGAGCTGCGGATTGTTGTTGATCTCCTGGATGGCAAACGCCAAGGCCAGGATGTACTGGTAGTTCTTGGGAATAGGTCTTTGTTGCAAATGTTAGAGGACAAAAATTAGACAGGAGCAGGAGGTAGATTTTTATTTGGTTAAGAAAGCATTACCAACATTCTAGGAGTTAATCATAAAACAGATAAATACAAATTAGTTCAGTTATTTTACTGCTGTCAGAAAACAGGCTTACTTTCATTCAGTTGATCATGTTACTACTGTCAACTGTGTATAACAAAGCCTCCTCTCCCTTTCTCAGCAGCGTATTTCTGTGAGCTGATGCGCAAGTTACAATTAACAGCACGAACTCAGTTCTAGTCAGTATTGATTTTTCCAAGATGAACCTTTCAGTCCAGTTAAGGAAAGGTGGTTATTATCTTGATAAAGCTATACACATTATTATATCCAGTCATGGAAATCTTTACATGCTGGCAGGTTCTGCCCTACATTCTCAAGAAACTTTTCCCAGTGTGGTGCCCTTCACCTATTATGCCACTGGAGTCATTTTGAATTAGATGGCTTTATAATTCCCATAAATTAGATTAGATTAGATTAAATTGAATTAAATTAAATTAAATTAAATTGAATGCCTGACCAGCTTAACTTTTTCTCAAAGAAATTCACTCCCCTGACAGTATTGATAGGAGATTGTTGAGAAGCCAGACTTGGGTCAAAAGAAAGACCTTCTCTGCATGAAATTTAATGAAACCACGAAGCGTGGTGTTACAATTCATAGGAATATTGAAATGGGGAGGTGAGTTTAATTCAGCTATAAGATAGAGGATCTTAGTTTTATTTCTCCCCAACCCCAGATTGGCTTCTCTGCAATGTGTACCCTGCCTTCAGGAACATGGAGAAAAGGCTGACTCCCTATTCTGGGTGACAAGCTGTTCTTCATCAGTGAAGAGTCAGAGGGATTGAGAAGGGGATTAGGGGGATTCATCAAGGAGAGTCACTGGCTCCTAATCATAAAGGTTGCACATCAACAGAGGCTGGGTGGGATTTAAGTCTGCCCCGTCTTCAAGACTGCCCTTTCCACACTGCTCTGAGGAAAAAGACAATCAAGGAAACACTTACAGAGTAAGGATATCCC